GTTCGAATCTCAGTGGCCCTTAATTCGAACCAAGCATACTTACGTTATGGGCTATTTTTCCAAAACACCAGAACTCCGGTAGTAAAAACAAGTAAATAAAAACAGTTCAAATTTAGAGTAGAATCGTTACAGTGATTAAAAGAGGATAATAAAATAAGTCCATACTAATCGTGACCGCAAAAGCCTAATTTTTGCATATGGTGTAAATTTGATGAAACTTTTCACATTGTACATATAAAGCTTTATATTCTATAATTTGACTTAAATCATAACTTTATATATTTGACCCATTATTTTATGTTTTAAAACGGTCTTGAAACGTCAACCAAAAAGCAAATCTGCATCACTCCTGCGCATAAACATCGACAAAAGAGGAAGTTTCGCCTCAACCTGCTTATAAACTAGACGTCAATTGTCAACGTAATTTAATTACTGTCAATTCCGGCCAATTTTGATAACAGGGATGTAACGATTTTTGCTCGAAACACAATCGAGTCGGTGGTTCGAATACAGGATTATAGTCAAGAAATCCTCTTTTCAAAAAATTTTGAAAGGAAAGGAAGAAGGCTAAGAGGTATACAATTACGAAAGTCATCAACTCTTATTGTTTTTTTCTCTCTCGCTATTATGGGAAAAAGTTTCCATTGTCTATCACAATGTGTTGTCCGCAAAGCCGTACATATATTTTTTTTCTTCTTCTTCAATTTGTACAGATTAATTCGACAATTCCCTGGAGCTTTATTCTTTGGAGATGGATGAATATCATACATCAACCTCTTTACTCGTTAAGAAAGTAATAAACAGACGTAACCGTCTCATTGATCGCCTTTAAAGATTCATTGATAAATTGGCTGTTTTCATTCGTATTAGTAGTGGAAGGCTCTTGGGCTGTTCTTTAATGTCAGAAATTATCAAGTTCCCTATTATGTAAGTGTTTTATTTATTTATTTTTACGTCGAAAACAACAGAGCACCAAGTTTGATCGACGCGAAGACCTATTATGGAATACTACTGCATTCTCTTCGTTATATTCATTAATATCTATAATTTTCATAAAGTAATTTCATAGCAAAAAACACAGGTGAAGGCGACCCATTAGACCCAAAATCTATTTAACAACAAAGACTAATTAGATACAATGAATAAAGTATAAGTAATAACGTATATAAATAAAGTTACAAAATAACTAATAAGTGCTTTCAATTAATTAATCTTTATGTAAGGTATTGGTTGAAATCAAAAAGGTAGTGTCACGAGCGGGATTCGAACCCATGACCTTCGACTAAATACGCCGCTGCTCTACCACTTGAGCTATCGTGACTTCGATCCACTCGGACACCAATTTCCCATCTCAACCTACTATTCCAATTTTCCCTCCTTTTAGCCATTTTTCAAAAGTCGTGTAATCGGGATTCGATTCTCGGCGACAAATGAAATGGCCACGGAAAGCTTTAGTAATCAATACCTTACACAAAGATTAATTAATTTAAAGAAGTTATTTGGTCATTCGGACCACGAAATATAATGGATAACTTTAAACTTTCAAAAGAAAAAGCTTGTACAGAAACCGTGACGTTTTCCAGCACCCTCAACAATTCGAACACTTTACAATTGGGAACAAACGAAGGGAAAATGGATACGATCGAAACATTCAACAGGGGGAAACGTAGATGTATACAGACACTATACATTCAACAGGAGAACACTTATGAGTGCACCAATCAATAGTAATTCACATATTTCCTTTACACAATTAAATACACTACGTGATATCAAAAGAAGTACCATTACCTACAAGAACTTACATTGAAAAAATTACCATTAATTACACAATGAATCAAAAATCCACCGCTTTCATTTTACACACTTTCTAGAATGAGAATGTTAAAAAGAAACGCAGACAACTAAATCAGAAGATTAAGAAATTAACTGAAACACGCATGACAGTCAAAATCAGCAAAAATAGGCGGACCTGTATGATCGGTCACATACGACAAATCATTTCCTTAGTTTTTTGTGCTAAAACTCTTTATTAAATTAAAGCAATATAGGGGAAAATTGACGTCGTAATTAAATCTTTGGTTGTTATCTAACATTTTTGTCATCCTATCCACACTTTCTGCTTTCGTCTTCTTCAATGGTTGCTTTACTTATAATTAATACTAACATACCATGGACTGCATCTGACAGCCCAAACCACCAAATATAGGAGGACCATGATCGGAAACGACCAAGTTACAGGTTCATTAATTAATTAAATTTATATCCTATCAAAAATCGTACATATTAAGAATTTATAATAAAATAAGTTATGGGGTTAGACAGGGCTGCGTCCTTAGCCCCTTGCTGTTTTCGTTATTTATTTATGTTCTTCCTGATGCTTTAGAGTTTGGAGTTAGCTGTTCTAGTGCAATAATTAAAATAATCGAGGGGAAAATTGACGTGGTGATTAAATCTTTGGTTGTTATCGAACATTTTTGTCTTCCTATCCTCACGGTTTTATCAACTACGCACTTCTGCTTTCGTTATTTTGGTTATTTTACTTGTAATTCATTTCATTTCAACCAATACCTTACATAAAGATTAATTAATTGAAAGAAAGTTATTTGGTCAATCGGACCACGAGATAATGGACTTATAATTAATACTAACACACCATGGACTGCATCTGGCAGATCAAACCAGCAATGATAGGAGGACTAAGATGATTGTAAACGACTAAGTTACAGAATCATTAACTTAAGACATTAAATAAGAGCCTTTTCTATGTTTCTATGTAGTCATTCTGGCCACCTCCCAACCCGCCTTCCAAAGAAACATTGACGCTTTAGAAAATTATTACTCTCAATGCTACCTGACAGTAAATTTAAATAAATCCAAAATCCTAGTTTTTCATCGGCCTTAAAAGGACAATGAGGATCTTTAACGTCCGCACCTAGCCTTTTCGTTTTGATTGTCAAGATGAGAGCTGACGCACCTCCGCATACGACAGAAGTGTTTACTGCCGCAACATTGGTGTAAAGGAAGCTCAGCCCCAAGGGGCCATGACAACCTCCTTCCCCGCTTGCATTAAGCATCGAACCGTATGCCGCGCGCAAAGGGCTACCTAAGCTGAAATACATCATCCTAGTCTCCCGCGCACTCCCAAGATAGAAAAGGCCACTCTATCTCCCAGAGTATTGAGGCTTCCCAGCGTAGAAACTTCCGAATCCGCTCCGGCCGCGGTTACGTTTAAAGTGGAATTGCTAACCTCCCCCTAGAGGAGACTGCGGTAAAAGCCGTAAAAAATCGAGCCCAGCCTACACCTACGTGCAAAGCATACTCGAGCAGGAGCAAACAATTCACTACCCATTCCCATCCGCCACTACTCACGAATTAGAGGGACTTTTCAGCATAATCCTCAACGCTTATACGCTGCCGTCCGATCCGCCGTATCCCGTGAGGCCGGGTGTATAACGGTGGTCATACGCAAGTTTCGTTCGAAGGTCACAGGTAGAAGACAGCCCCTTCGCTAAGTTCCCGCCGGGGGGTTCACCACAAATCACTACGAATCCAATCCCAGTGTAACATGAGCTGAATTTTGGAACATTTCTGTTACCCCGTAGTACAGATGGTTATGCACCCTCCCTCGGCTATGCAGACAGGATCTGGTACCCTAAACCACGTGTGCCTCTGATAAAGTACCCGCCGCCCCATGCCAATACGAGTACAGCTTATGATTTAGAGAGGTTGCCTCGAGAGGTTACACCATTATTTTGCGCTCGGACAATGTGAGATGTCTCTCGGTGGGAGATGTCGCAGAGGAGAATAAAGGAACCTGGATTGAGAAAGGGACGTGGATGAGGACACGAGGTACACCTTTCTTGGGCCCCGAGCCTTAACCACATTGTACCACCCGTCGTCGTTGTAGTTCCACATTAAGTGGGCTACAACTCCTTCGGTGGAAAACCGTAAAGTGGGCAGGGTGAGGAATAGATAGAGCTGGTTTTTTGACGGCGGACGAATTGACGTTGTGAGTGAGTATAGTACTGCGGGGTGCTTTTGCCAAACTCTATCTAATGCTCAAAAAGAACATTTATACAAAGAAATATGCAATCAATCCGGTCTGGTCCAACTTTCTCTCACACCCTTCTATTCCACCTAATGCTAAGTTCAAGGTTTTAAGGCAGTGTGTCGCTCGATGTTTTGGGGTATCAGCGGTTCGAACTTGTCTTATCTTTTCAGCGATTTTTTATTGGCAAAATTGTTTCGACGTTTTTCTTCCTTTTCTTTTTGTTCGAACTAGCCATACTAAAGACACAACAGTTATAAACAAAATCTCGAAATTTTCCTCACGCGAAGACATGATTACTATTCTACGCACCGAGCAAGGCAAGGCGGTTTTCCCTTCGTTTGTCAGAAGTTCGTTAGGAGAAATATTTTCAACGAAATTTTGGCGAATTTATACGCGCTCACCTCATTGTATTTATCACCTAAAATCAACTGGGAAATCTACTCTATTCAAACAATATCGACTTATTGAAAAAATTCGTATTATTTCTGCGTTTCACCCCCCCCCCATTCACCGTTTATTAATTCATATTTTATTCTCGTCATGCGTTTTGTTCGTTTGTTCTTAACCCATCAGGAATTCCAACCCCGTCTCTGCTGAGATGTCCGCATCTCGGGTAAACCTCGGGGAATTAAAGCCGTTCTGTTAAATCCTTGCATTATCCATAAATATGCGAGTAAATGAAGGGAGAGTGAGATAGGAGATAGCTTTTTCCAACAGGAAAACGAATCAATTGCTACCCTAGATATACCCATTAGAGCGTGTCCTTCATATCCACATCACGATACATTTTGCACTATTTTAATTTGTTTGTCTAAAAGTTTTTTTAATTTTTATAAACAAAACATAAATTTTATGTAGGTCTGGGAAATAAACCAGTTTTAAAATTATTAGCAAAATTAGCTGCTTAATTGGTTTAGGCAAATTTAACTAAATTAATTTTACGTACATTGTTTTTTTTTATGAAGACGTCATGGGAGGCTTTATTCACGACCTGAAACAAAATAAACAAAATAGAAAACAATTCATATATATCTGGCTTAAATAAATATATATATAATTAACAAGTAAATTAAATTTACACGAAATATACAAAAATTTGTATTTAAATGTATTTCAACCATCTGCGCTTAAATTTACTACTAGATATTTTTTCGTATAGGTACGATTATTATATTTTTTTAATATCATTGACAGTTTTATGAATAATGGCCAATAAAAAACTTTAAATGTCCCGATAAAATCACAATTACATTTTTTTAAGTATTTTATTTATTGCTAACTGTACAAAATATACATTGAGCAAATAGTTTAGTTATAAACAAATCTGACAGACCTGTCAGACCAGGAGGCAGTGAGGAGAAAAACCAACCAGTGCTGGAACTCTCTTTTATTTAATTTGGTGGTGGGGGGGTTAAAGTTAATTTGGTGGGTTAGATAGAAACTCACGAGGCCATCGTCGTTTTAAACGGCGCGGAGGATTGTACGGGTGAGACGTTGAGGAAAGAGTTAGGGCTAGTCGGTTAGGGTGGACGGATAGTTTAGAGTGAAAAGTAAAGAAGCGTGTTCGGATAAGATCTTTCACGAAAGGGATTTTACGATCTTTATGGATCGTTTGATTAGTGACATAGGAGGAAGCATTGAGGGTACGGCGGAGAACTTTAGATTGAAAATATTGAATTCGTTGGATATTGGATGATTTGGCCAAGTTCCACAGCTCGACTCCGTAGTTCCAAATAGGTCTGATGAGTGTTTTCTAAGCGGTTGGTTTCTTATGTACGCTTAGTTTTGATTTTGGTCCAAGTAGGTTTCTTAGTAGTTTGAGCTTAAACGTCACTTGTTGGCATTTTTGTTCGTTTAACCTAATCCGCCACAGATTGCACCAGTCGGTAATGACGTTCAGGTGTTGTTGGAGTGCTTCTGTTACTAGGATAGGATTTGATTGTGTTGATAAGACTGCGGTGTGTCCGCGTAGGTTGTGATTGGATGTGTGGGTATGTGTATACTGTAGATGGTGTAGAGGATTGGGCATAGGATACGTCCTTGCGGAACGCCAGCTTTGATTGGGTGACAGGTGAAAAATCGGTGCCGATTCTTACTCTAAACCATCGATCCGAGAGGAAGGTTTTCACGATAAGATAGTAAGAATAAGGGAGGATAGGTTTCAACTTAAAGAGGAGGCCGGGGTCCCATACTCGGTCAAATGCTTCCGTAACGTCCAAAAATACAGTTGAGCAGTATTGTTGTTTTTTCTAGAATCGAGGATATCGTGTCGACTACTCTGAAGCACTGCTGAACAGTGGAATGGAGAGGTCGAAACCCAAATCGATGGTTAGGAATAAGTTTTCAGAGTCGAATATGTGAATTAGTCTTTTAAGGAGACGTGCAAAGATTTTGGATAAAATAGGATACAATTAGATAAAAAAGAAAACAAGAATCTTTGGTAGTACCAAAATCTAAAGATTTTTTCTCAAATAGCAGATAATATAATAGTAATAATAGCCTCTCTCTCTCAGCATAAAATATAATTAATTAATATTAATCCAAGCTTTAATGTTTGAAATTAAAGATGTGGTGAAGATTGGTGAAAAAAGTGAATATGCTAAATTTAAATTTAACAAAATATGTAGGCATAATTGTTTGTACTAATTATTTTAATTTATAATATATAATAATTGATATCCATATTTTTAAATTTACTTTTTAATATTGCAAAGCTATTTAAAAAAATAGATTAACATTGTAACTTACTAGTTAACTTTAGAAAGGTTTGTTTAAAAAAAATTATATTTCCATATACATAAAAGTGTAGAGTAAATAGTATAAAATGCTTAAAAAAATATAAAAAGATCTATAAAATCCAAGCATTTTGAAAATTTATATTCTATTTCCAAATATTAAAATATAATCCAATAATAAAAAATTATTTAAATAATACTTGAGAGGACATTAATAATAATTATTAGAATTATCTAAAAAATTAAAGCTTAGCTTAACAAACTCGGAAGAATTAATAGGGCATGTAAATTAATAATTACCAAATGCATTTTAAAATACTCATTGAAATAATTCTCATACATTTACAAAAATCAAATTGTTCTTCAGAATAAAAACCCGATCAAATCTGGAGCAATGCATTTAATTCCCAGGATAAGTCCCGGACTAAGTTTTCCCAAAATCGAATTGAAATTGCCATCAAAGCATCAAAATAATCGAGTTTGCGAATAGACCTTGGAAAGCTCATAAAATTCTGATGTCTTTGGCTGGTTTGACATTTTTAACAATGTAATGTGAGGCAGCAACTGTTTAAAGAAATTGAATTACCATTGATGTTTGTACAGTTTGTAACCTGACGGGGAATTTATAGAACAAAAATGTTCCAATCTAAAAGGAAATTCCGTGCTAAATTTAAAACTGAGGTCAAAAGTTGGGAAAAGCTACGTTAGAGTGGAGAAAATTCAGGTCCACTTAAAATATGTATTTAGGTATTTACCTACAAGCAGGAATATCAGTTACCTAGAAATACAGCAACCTCATACATCTTTCCTTCAATAAAGCCACAGCAAGAATGCGTATGGTTAATTTACTGCACTGTAATATTTTAGTTTTTGCTAAAATTGCTAAGCTAAGCTAAAAGCTTTTCTTCCCTTAAGAGTTTTTCGTTCTCGATTTCGTTTAAAATGAACTTGCCCCGAATCGCCCGGTAATAAATGTTTAATTTGTACGTTAGAGCAATCTGCAACTATTAGGTCGTCAGCATTTTTCAAACTATCATCAGCAATCAAAAGAAAATCCGTAACATCCATGAACTTGATGCCTTTGTTTTCATGTTTGAAAAGAAAACCCAAGAAACAGCATTAGCGGCAAAACCCGTTACGCAAAATCTCTCTATTGTCACGTTGCAATATTTACAAAATAATTTACAAACATCAACAAAGATCAAGTCATCAAAAAGCTACATCATTGAATCGTTTAACTGGTTGATAGGTTTAATATTTATTCAAGTTTGGCACAACGATAAGATTTATCAAATAAACAGAGAAAAATTTGCAGCTAACCGAAAAAAAGGATCAATCTTAATCAATAATCAGAATATTAATTAATCTTTTTACGTAAGGTTGTGGTTAAGATAAAAAAGTCAATGTCACAAGCGGGATTCGAACCCACGACCTTCGGCTAAATATGCCGCTGCTCTACCACTTGAGCTATCAAGACTTCGATCCACTCAGACACCAGCCAACTGTCCACCTCAACCTACAACCTTTCGAATTTTCCCTCTTTTTGCCATTTTTCAAATGTCGTGTAATCAGGATTCGATTCTCGGCGATATATAAGTGGCCAGGAGGTGCTGTTCGTGAATCTATACTTTGTTTTACTCATTAAATTCCATTATATTTAGTGGTCTATTGACCAAATTACTTCTTTCAATTACTTAATCATTTTATGTAAGGTTGTGGTTTAAATGAAAAAGCTAGTGTCACGGTGGGATTCGAACCCACGACCTTCGGCTAAATACACCGCTGCTCTACCACTTGAGCTATCGTGACTTCAATCCACTCGGAAAAATTCAATATGAAAGGTTGAGATGGGAAAACTCAAGTGATAGAGGAGCGGCGTATTTAGCCGAAGGTCGTGGGTTCGAATCCCGCTCGTGACACTATCTTTTTCATTTCAACTAAAACCATACATAAAAAGAGTAAGTAATTGAAAGAAGTAATTTGGCCAATAGACTACTAAATATAACGGATTTAATAATCAGAATATTGATGCAATGAGGACACCCGCATCGTAGAAATCGCAGATTTACGTTTCACTTCCGTTATGTAGTTAATGGGTGGGATATTAAGAAATATGTTCAAATTATAAATTTAACAATAGTCAAGAACATGGACGTAATAAGAATGTGGGAAGTTTAGGGGCCGACAAAAGCTGAGGTCAGCGCCGGCTCTCAGCGTGTTTTATTTCTCTTTCTGGCATTTAACACGTTTTCATAAGGGAGCAATATAAAAATTTGCATGGATTCTAACTCAATAACTTAACCTTGGCAGGATGTTATTATGAATTTTTTTGGAAAAAAATTTAGTTTATTATATTTCGTTAAAAAAAACACTTATAAATGAACCCTTAAATCCTAATAAAACTCAAATTCAAATAGTCATAAAAAATTAATACTTTGAATATGTAAAAGAATACGGATATTTGGGCTAAATCATTTCTTTGTCCTAGACTTTAAATTTTTAAGTATCGAATATCAAGTATCACCCGTAAACCTCGAAACTTAGTTTAGGTTCCACGTACTACCCACATTTCCATTATGTGCTATAAATAACTAATAACTAAATTATAACGGCTATAGATTATGTAGCACAGTGGCTAAAGAGATTCAAATAACAATACATTATGGTATAATGGAGGGTCTAACAACAGATGAAAATGGTACGTCACGAGATTGTCCAGAGATGATTTAATAGAATATTTGAATGGTTTTAAAAATTGGATTCCTCTTTTGAAGTGTAATTCTTACGAGAAATATACATAGGTAAGCATTTTATTGGTCAGTTAATTCAATTATTAACTTTATTAATTCAGTGCTTATTTCACTATTTATAATTATTATTATTTAAATTAGTACATAAACACATTTCTACTGATTACTTTGGTCAAGTTAGTCCTTTTGTTTTGTACGATTAATTTTTTTTAAATACTTTTTTTTAACCCTTTCCACCACCCCGCCGTATCTGAGGAAGACCCCATACCGGCGGACAAACGCTTTAGCTTAATCGAATTTGTATATCTAAGGGATTTCAAATAATTGGGATAAAAATTCCTCCCAACGATCTTTCCTTCTGGCGAGACCGCTGGTCGGTTTTTGAAGGGACCATATTTTCATTTTAGAACCTAAAACAAAAGGTCTTCCCTTGCTGGTTTCCCCTTGCACATTTACTTTTCCTTGGTTTTATTTTCTATTTATATTATCTAAAATTTTCTTACTAA